TGGTGATATGTTCTCTCTTAGTCAAGCAGATGCGGCCATGCTGACTGACAGTGGCTTCGGAATCATCGGATCAGCATTGGGCCCAGCAATGTCTCAGCGTTCATACTCAGTCGAGAAATTCCTCAAGGAGTACCACGAGCTACGAACCAAGGCGAAGGCAGAGCAGTCATTTGAGGATTTCTGCTTCTCCAAAGCTTCTAAAATGCGCCTTACTTTCGATGACAGTTTGCGCCAATATATGGAAGCTAAGCGGTTGTGGGCTCCATGATACTTCTCTCTGTTCATCCACCATACGGAAAAATAGAAGAAGCTCCCCCAAACCCTCGCATCCGCGGCTGGGCATTGGAGGGCCCTCCACATGCCGCATCACTGCCTCAGTGCGGCCAAAAGGACGCTAGATATCCCAACGGGGCTTGAGCAAGGCTCCAAGGGCACCCTAAAAGTCAGGTGTTGCTAGAAGTGCCCCTGGCCCAAGATGCCCTCAGGATTTTCAGGAAGGCCCCCACGGCCTCAATGATAACGGAAGTCAGCCAGGGCGCCGGATCTTGCAGGATTTTGCGGGGCCAGTGGCTGACCCGGGTTTGGGTGCAGGGTCCTGCAGGACCTGGCAGGATCCCGCAAAGCCCCACTGGCCCGCATCTGGATTGCCCCTGTCAGCAGATCCCTGAGCCCTCCTGTCAGCGGGCCGCCCCAAAAGCGGCGTGGGGTGGAATCCGAGACGGTAGTAGTAGTAGTAGTAGTAGTAGTAGTAGTAGTAGTAGTAGTAGTAGTAGTAGTAGTAGTCGTAGTAGTAGTAGTAGTAGTAGTAGTAGTAGTAGTAGTCGTAGTAGTAGTAGTAGTAGTAGTAGTAGTAGTAGTAGTAGTAGTAGTAGTAGTAGTAGTAGTAGTAGTAGTAGTAGTAGTAGTAGTAGTAGTAGTAGTAGTAGTAGTAGTAGTAGTAGTAGTAGTAGTAGTAGTATAGTAGTAATAGTAGTAGTAGTAGTTCTAGTAGTAGTGTAGTAGTAGCAGTAGTAGTCGTAGTAAGTGTAGTAGTAGTAGTAGTAGTAGTAGTAGTAGCAGCAGTAGTAGTAGTAGTAGCAGTAGTAGTAGTAGTAGTCGTGTAGTCGTAGTCGTAGTCGTAGTCGTAGTCGTAGTCGTAGTAGTAGTAGTAGTAGTAGTAGTAGTAGTAGTAGTAGTAGTAGTAGTAGTAGTAGTAATAGTAGTAGTAGTAGTAGTAGTAGTACCGTGGATGTAAACAATCAACGCGACAATTATTCATAACATTGGATTTCGCCATTTAAAGGCCGCGAGTTCCAGGTAGGGCAAGATCGGCAGCTGCCCGCGAAAATGTAAACAATAAACGCGAAACACGGAAACACTTTTTTCAACCCGGGGCCGCTCATGCCTAGCTTGCGTTCCATATCTTTGAATGGCGGAATTCAATGGTACGGATGGGTTTCGCGTTAATTCTTTACATCCACGGTGGTAGTAGTAGTAGTAGTAGTAGTAGTAGTAGTAGTACTAGTACTTGTACTAGTACTAGTACTAGTACTAGTACTAGTACTAGTCGTAGTCGTAGTCGTAGTCGTAGTCGTAGTCGTAGTCGTAGTAGTAGGGGGAGGAGACCACCGAGGAGACGGAGGAGTAACATGAGGAGGAGGGGCAGGAGAAGGAGAGGACAAGGAGCAGGAGGAGGACGAGACGGGGGAGGAGGAGGAGCAGCAGGAGGAGAAGCGTACCTGAGGACGAGGTTTTTGTTTTGGTGCGCCACTCTGACGGTGGGCGCGCCGCGCCCGTCAGCGAGGTAGCCTTTCGTGGGATCGCCGTGCCTCGCTGGGCCGCGGCCACGCGTCGGCGGAGTGGCCGCGTGTCAGTCCCCTGCCCAGAGCCTGGGGATTCTGAGGAGGATCACCATTAGCTGGCAGCCAGCACGCATACTTTTGTGGAAGACGATCCATGGAGAGGAGGCATATTTCCAAATAGGTTCCAGATGTCTAAAGCATGGTTGAACTATGTGTCTAAAGTGCTGAAACAAGTTTTAAACATGTTTCGAACATGGATTAAACATGTCGACGACATTTGAAAGACATTTTCCCGGAAAGGGCTTAGGACCAGGTCCCCGGTGCCAAGTTCGAAGACGGGTGGACAATTTCTTTTTGATGAATGACGATGTCGACGAGGGCCGGCGAATTAAAAAGTTGAGGATGTCCCGAGCAAAACGCTGGTTTTTGAAATTCCGATAGTTAAAACATAAGGTAAACTAAGCATTTTCGTTTGTTGCGGATACAGCGTGATTTACAAGGGATGTGGCCCTTGGAGGGCGGACATAGTGTAATTAATTGGGGAACGTGGCCCTAGGGAACCGGACACAGCGTAATTCACGAGGGAGCGCGGCCTTGGGAGCGCGGACGCAGCATAGGTTACGTGGGATCGTGGCCCCTGGGGGGCTGACACAGCGTAATTCATGAGGGAACGTGGCCCTGGGCTGGGGGAGCGCGGACACACTGTAATTTACAATGGATCGTGGCCCAGGGAGCGCGGACGCAGCGTAATTTACAAAAGATCGTGGCCTTTGGGGGGCGGACACAATGGCATTGATTAAGGAACGTGGCCCTAGGAGCGCGGACACAGCGTAATTTACAATGGATCGTGGCCCAGGGAGCGCAGACGCAGAGTAATTTACGTAGGATCGTGGCCCAGGGAGAGCGGACGCAGCGTAATTTATGAGGGATCGTGGCCCTGGGGGAGCGCAGATGCAGTGTAATTTTCTTTGGGGGCGCGGACGCAGCGTAGTTTACGTGGGATCGTGGCCCCTGGAGGGCTGACACAGCGTAATTCATAAGGGAACGTGGCCCTGGGAGCGCGGGCACAGTGTAATTTACAATAATCGTGGCCCTGGGAGCGGACACGGCGTAATTCACAAGGGATCGTCGCCCTTGGAAGGCGGACACAATGTAATTAATTGGGGAACGTGTCCCTAGGAGACCGGACGCAGCGTAATTCACAAGGGAGCGCGGCCCTGGGAGCGCGGACGCAGCATAGTTTACGTAGGATCGTGGCCCAGGGAGAACGGACGCAGTGTAATTTACAAGGGATAGTGGCTTTGGGAGCGCGGACGCAGCGTAATGTACGATGGATCGTGGCACTGGGAGCGCGGACGCAGCGTAATTTTGAAGGGATCGTGGCCCCTGGGCCAGGGACGTCCCGCGGCACGTTCCCTGACGCGTCCCCTGGTACGTTCCCTAGCGCGTCGCCTGGCACGTTCCCTGGCACGTTCCGTGGCGCGTCCCGTGGCGAGTCCCCCTGGCACGTCACGCGGCGCGTCCCTTGGCACGTCCCGTGGCACGTCCATTGCCACGTTCCGTAGCGCGTCCCCTTGGCACGTCCCGCGGTGCGTGCCCATGGCACGTCCCCTGGCACGTCCCCTGGTGCGTCCCTTGGGACGTTCTGCGGCGCGTCCCCCCTGGCATGTCTCTCTGTTAATTAACTCTGGGGCAGCTACTACGTGCTCAGACAGCTCGAACTCAAGATCCAGATCAGTTCGGTCAGGGCTCGGATCCAAAGGAGGACTCGATCTACAACGCCATAAGGCACATTCGCAGCATGGCACATCGCAATTCAGCACAGCGCAGCACAGCACAGCCCTTGACACGGTACATCAAGATCGATACACTCAGCTTTGCAATTTGGCACGTTCCGTGGCGCGTCCCGTGGCGAGTCCCCCTGGCACGTCGCGCGGCGCGTCCCCTGGCGCGTCACGTGGCACGTCAATTGGCACGTTGCGTAGCGCGTCCTCCTGGCACGTCCCGCGGTGCGTCCCCATGGTGCGTCCCCTGGCACGCCCCATGGCGAGTTCCTTGGGACGTTCTGCGGCGTGCCCCCCGGCAGATCCCCTTGTCAATTAGCCTTGGGGCAGCTACTATGTGCTCAGGCAGCTCGAACTCAAGATCCAGATCAGTTCGGTCAGGACTCTGATCCAAAGGAGGACTTGATCTACAACGCCATAGGGCACAATCGCGGCATGGCACACCGCAATTCAGCACGGCGCAGCACAGCACAGCCCACGGCACGGTACATCAAGTTCGATACATTCAGCATAGCATTTGCCCGTCGCCCAAGCAGTTGTTGTTGAAGCGTTGCCATGCCTTACACTTCCATATTGCTTCCCGGGTTCGTGGGCCGATCATGTTTCATTGCTCCTCCAGAATCCGCCTGTAGGGGGGCACGCCCGACCCAGCATTGGCCGACAGCCAGCACCCGCACCCATGCGTCCGCCGGGTCTCCGGAGGTGGACTTCCGGGGAGGCTCCGGGCGCTTGTTGTCAGAGAGGGCTCCCCGCTCGAATGGGGGCCTCCCTCGGGCTCCGACGACCCGCGCCCAGACCCATGGCACAGCCTCAGACCGCGAGGCGCGACCCCCCCCCTCTCCCGGTGAGGGTGGGGGCGCGTGGTGTCCGACCGTCAGCGCAGGGGAAGGGGGTGGCCGTGCTCCTGCCAGCCTCGCTCGTCACATCGGGCACCGCCACGTGCACCTGCTCTGACGCACGGGGCAGGCATGAGCGTGGCCCTTTCCTCCCCGAAGGGAGGAAGGCCACCCCGACTCGACCCCCGAGACTGGAGCTTGCTGCACGGCCCTGGGCGTTCCCGAAGCCCCGCCTTGCTCGATTCCTCCTGGGTGCGTTCACGGAACGGCTTCGCTTGCCGGGGTGCTTCCGAGGAGGGTGCTGCTTCTGCTCTCTATTGTGATACTCGTTGGTTTCGCCGGTGCTAAGAGTGAATTCAGCGTGGATTTGCGTCTTCGTTTTTCATTTTTATTTTCCTTTTTTCTGATATGCGCACGTCAATCGATCATGTGGCTCGGGCGTTCGTGTGAATGCCGCTGGCATGAAATTTGAAAAGGAAAAAAGTATCCACGCGTCCCTTCATAGCCCTTGGCGAAGCCAATTACTCGATGTGGTCCGTTCGTCAGGGCAGGAGCCCTCGTGATTTTGCCTGTCCGTGGCGCGCGCGGCTTCTCCGCAGGCTGCTTCCGGTGGGCGCGCCGCCGCCTCAGCACGCCCGCGCGGCCGCCGCCACGCGGACGAAGCCCGCAGAGGCGCCCTCCGAGGGGCCGAGCATCGAAGAATCGAACTTCGAGGATCAGGCTTCGAGGATCGAGGATTTTTGGGCGTGAGGACGAACATCCTGGATCCTCGAGGTTTGATCCTCGATCCTCGAAGGATCGAACTTCGAGGATCGAGGATCAGACTTTGAGCATCAGACTTCGAGGATCGGGGCGTGGATGGTCTGTCAGCGGCGAGCGAGGGGGGGAAACGAGGCGGGCAAGGCCTTCTCAGAAGGCGGCGTGGCTTCTCAGAAGCCCTCGCGCTCTCTGTGAAGCTGTTTCTGTCTTCGGGGAAGGCCCCGACAATTTCTCAGGAGGCCGGGGGACTTCCGAGCCTTCGGAGTCGGGAGCCTTGAGACGGGGATCAATGCAAACGGGGGTCAGCCAGGGCGCCCGATCTTACAGGATCCTGAGGGCCAGGGTCGCATTGACCCGGGTTTGGGTGCAGGATCCTGCAGGATCCTTCGCATTGACCCGGGGGATGGGTGCAGGATCCTGCAGGATTCTGCAAGGCCTGACTGACCCGGGTCCGGATTGCCCCGACTGAAAAGGCCAGGCCTTCTCCTTCTCACTTCCCCCCCCCCCGCTCGCCGCCGAGCCCGGGCCCCTGCGCCAAAAGAGATCGGCGGCGCACCCAGGGGGGAAGCGAGAGGGAACGGGCCTTTCCAGAAGGCGGCGCGCCTGTCTCGGAAGCCCTCCAGCCTGCTGATGAGTCTCTCCTCCTCCTCCTCCCTCCTCCTCCTCCTCCTCCTCCTCCTCCTCCTCATCCTTCCTCCTCCTCCTCCTCCTCCTCCCTCCTCCCTCCTCCTCCTCCTCCCTCCTCCTCCTCCTCATCATCCTCCTCCTCCTCTCCTCCCTCCTCCTCCTCCTCCTCCTCCTCCCTCCTCCTCCGCCCTCCTCCTCCTCCTCCTCCTCCTGCTCCTCCTGCTCCTCCTCCTTCTCCTCCTCCTCCTCCTCCTCGTCCTCCTCAGAAACTTCTCAGAGAGCCCGAGGCCTCCCGAGCCTTCCGAGAAAGCCCGCCCCCTTCTCACTTCCCCCCCCCCGCAGGCCCGCCGCCGAGCAGAGGACCCGGGCGGACGGAAGGCGGGGGTCAGGCGAGGGCGGTGTGCGACGTTTGCTGCAGGCGCTCGGCCTCGGCCCCGCCAGCAGGCATATGTGGTCCCTTGCTCGAGGCCGCCTCCGGCGACGGAAGGGGCCCGGGGGCTGGAGGTGTCTCCTGGAAAGGGCGGGGGTCCAGGGTTTTTGTTCTAGTACTGGGTATCGCTCGGACGTGTGCACTTTTTTCTCGGCGGGGACTGTTAAGGAGCATCCTGGATCATCCTGCGAAAAAGCCACGCGCGAAACCGACAAAAAGCACAGGGAATGGACGTCCGAGCGACGGGGCTGGAGATGTTTCCCGGAAAGGGCGGGGGTCCAGGGTTCGTTTTTAGTAGGTTCGTTCCTCCCCGGAATCGACTTGAAGAGGGCCGGCGAAAGTATTCGGTGATGAATAGCGAGGTCGACGAGGGTCGGCGAGCCAAACGCTGGTTTTTGAAATTCCGATTGATAAAACACGGTAAAACAAGCATTTTCGTTTGTGGCGGATGTCTCGAACGAAATGCTTGTGATTCAGAATTCGTTGAGGATGTCTCGAGCGAAACGTTTGTTTCGTGCTATAGATCGTTCCTCTCCTGGCAACCAGAATGCAGAGGAAGTCTCAGGTGAAATGCGTGTTTTCACGTGCCCAGGTCTTGAGGATGTCTCGAGCGAGACGCTTCGAGGATGTCTCGAGCGAAATGCTTGTTTTGCTGAACTCGAGCGGCCTGGGCGCCCCAGGATGCCCAGGTGGTTCTGGGAACCCGAACACAGCGTAATTTACCAAGGAGCGTGGCCCTGGGAGCGCGGACGCGGCCTAATTCACGAGGGAGCGTAGCCTTGGGAGCGTGGACGCAGCGCAGTTTACACGGGACCGTGGCCCAGGGAGAACGGACGCAGCGTGATTTACAAGAGGTCGTGGCCCTGGGAGCGCGGACGCAGCATGATTTACAGTGGATCGTGGTCCTGGGAGCGCGGATGCAGCGTAATTTGCAATAGATCGTGGCCTTGGGAGCGCGGACGCAGTGTAATTCACACAGGGATCGCAGCCCTGGGAGCGCGGACGCAGTGCAGTTTACGATGGATCGTGGCTCAGGGAGCGGATGCAACGTAATTCACTGGACCCAGCGAGCAGCGAACGTGGCACAGGGAGCGCGGACGCAGCGTCATTTGCGATGAATCGTGGTTCGGGGAGCGCGGACGCAACGTAATTTACAATGGATCCTGGCCCTGGGTCAGGGACGTCCCGTGGCATGTTCCCTGACGCGTTCCTGGGCACTTTCCTTGTACGTTCCGTGGCGAGTCCACCTGGCACGTCGCGCGGCGCGTCCTTTGGCACGTCCCGTGGCACGTCCATTGGCACGTTCCGTAGCGCGTCCCCTTGGCACGTCCTGCGGTGCGTCCCCATGGCACGTCCCCTGGTGCGTCCCTTGGGACGTTCTGCGGCGCGTCTTCCTGGCAAGCCCCCCTGTCAATTAGCTCTGGGGCAGCTACCATGTGCTCAGGCAGCTCGAGCTTAAGATCCAGATCAGTTCGGTCAGGACTTTGATGCAAAGGAGGACTCGATCTACAACGCTATAGAGCACAATCGTGGCATGGCACATCGCAAGTCAGCACGGCGCAGCACAGCACAGCCTTTGGCACGGTACATCAAGATCGATACATTCAGCATTGCAATTTGGCACGTTCCATGGCGCGTCCCGTGGCGAGTCCCCCTGGCACGTCGCGCAGCGCGTCCCCTGGCACGTCCCGTGGCACGTCCATTGGCACGTTCCGTAGCGCGACCCCTTGGCACGTCCCGCGTTGCGTCCCCATGGCGTGCGTCCCTTGGGACGTTCCGCGGCGCGTCCTCCTGGCAAGCCCCCCCGTCAATTAGCTTTGGCGCAGCTACTATGTGCTCAGGCAGCTCGAGCTTAAGATCCAGATCAGTTCGGTCAGGACTCTGATGCAAAGGATAACTCGTTTCACAACGCTATAGGGCACAATCGTGGCATGGCACATCGCAATTCAGCACGGCGCAGCACAGTACAGCCTTCGGCACAGTACATCATCAAGATCAATACATTTAGCATTGCATCTTCCCGTCGCCCAATCGGGTGTCTGAAAACTTTGCCATGCCCCACATTTCTGTATCCCTTTCCGATCTCGTGGGTCGATCATGTTTTACAATTCTGGCATCCAGTGATTCGAGTAGGGGATCGACTGCAAACTTGGTTTACCCCAGACTGGATCGCCTTGTCGAAATCCATAAGGAAATGCATATAATGTTCTCTCTGTAGATCGACGGAACATTCTGCGCATGTTCCTGGAAAGGGCGCCGGCCCAGGGTTCTGTTTCACAAGTTTCACCCCCGGGGACGATTTGAGACGGGCCGGCGACATTATGTTCTTTTATTTTCTGTGATGAATAACAAGGTTGAGACGGGCCAGCGAATTAAATTGTGGGGATGTCCCGAGCGAAACTCTGGTATTTGAAATTCCGATTGGTAAAACATAGGGTACAGTAAGTATTTTCGTTTGTGGCGGATGTCTCGAACGAAATGCTTGTGTTTCAGAGTTCGTTGAGGATGTCTCGAGCGAAACGTTCGCTTTGTGCTATAGATCGTTCCTCTCCTGAGGACCAGGATTCAGAGGATGTCTCAGGTGAAATGCTTGTTTTCTCGTGCCCAGGTCTCGAGGATGTCTCGAGCGAGACGCTTCGAGGATGTCTCGAGCGAAACGCTTGTTTTGCAGAACTCGAGCGGCCTGGGCGCCCCAGGATGCCCAGGTGGTTCTGGGAACCTGAACACAGCGTAATTTACTAAGGAACGTGGCCCTGGGAGCGCGGACGCAGCGTAATTCACGAGGGAGCGTAGCCTTGGGAAAGCAGCGTAGTTTACAAGGGACCGTGACCCAGGGAGAGCGGACGCAGCGTAATTTACAAGGGGTCGTGGCCTTGGGAGCGCGGACGCAGCGTCATTTGCTGTGGATCGTGGCCTTGGGAGCGCGGGCCCAGCGTAGTTTACAATGGATGTTGACCTTGGGGGGGGCGGACACAGCGTAATTTACAAGGGATCGTGGCCCTGGGAGCGCGGACGCAGCGTCATTTACTGTGGATCGTGGCTTTGGGAGCGCGGACGCGGCGCAGTTTACAATGGATCTTAGCCCTGGGGGGGCAGACAAAGCATAATTTATCAGGGATCGTAGCCCTGGGAGCGCGGACACAGCGTAATTCACAAAGGAGCGCGGCCTTGGGAGCGCGGACACAGCATACGTCACAAGGGTGCGCGGCCTTTGGAGCGAGGACGTAACGTAATCCACGTGGGATCGTGGCCTTGGGAGCGCGGACGCAGTGTAATGAACGATGAATCGTTGCCCTGGGAGCGCGGACGCAGCGTGACTTACAATGGATCCTGGCCCTGGGTCAGGGACGTCCCGTGGCATGTTCCCTGACGCGTTCCCTGGCACTTTCCTTGGTGCGTCGTCTTGCACGTTCCGTGGCGCGTCCCGTGACGAGTCCCTCTGGCACGTCGCACGGCGCGTCCCTTGCACGTCCCGTGGCAAGTCCATTGGCACGTTCCGTAGCGCGTCCCTTTTTCGCGTCCCGCGGCGCGTTCCCCTGGCACGCCCCGTGGCACGTATTGACGTGTCCCTTGGGACGTTCCGCGGCGCGTTCCCCTGGCATGTCCCCTTGTCAAATAGCTCTAGGGCAGCTACTATGTGCTCAGGCAGCTCGAGCTTAAGACCCAGATCAGTTCGGTAAGGACTCGGATGCAAAGGAGGACTCGATCCACAACACTATAGAGCACAATCGCGGTATGGCACATCACAGTTCAGCACGGCGCAGCGCAGCACATTCTTTGGGTCTGTACATCAAGATCGATCCATTTAGCATTGCAACCTGGCACGTTCCGTGACGCGTCCCGTGGCGAGTCCCTT